AATGTGAACCTTAAACCTTAAAAACTCAAAAGCAAATCTCAATGCACTTCAGCCTAAATAAAATGTGATTTTAATTGTGTTGTTTTATGACACGGACATGTATATTCCATGATACACTAGAGAAATACCGTCCACTTACCAACAACATACAAGCAACCATGAAGCTCACTAACTCCGTTACCAGCTCTTCGTTGACCCATTTCTTTCACTTCTATCCACTTATCCAGATGTGGGTCATACCTTTCCACACTAGATAAAGAAGCTACTCCATCATTGCCACCTACTGCATAAACATGGTTCTAAAAACAAACAAACATGGCATTAGATTTGGAGTTAATTTATGCAAGAAAGCAGTATTCCATGAAACAATACAATGTACAATCAGTATTGGCATACTGGAGATATGAATATACCAGACTCTTCTTTATTCATTTAGGGTATGATGCCGTGCAATGATGAACAAGTTGCCACATAACTTACCACAAGAGCCACCGAGCCAACTCCTCCACGGGGAGTGTTCATTGGTGCCACTGTACTCCACTGATCAGATTCTATATCGTATCTTTCCACATCGTTGAAGCAGGTATTGTCATCTAATCCTCCAATTGCATAAATTGGGCCTCCTAAGGAGGCCAAGGCAATCCCTCGCCTGCAAAGACAATAACAAAAAGTGAACATCTGAGTTGATTTCTAGAATAAAAGCAGCAGCAAAAAAAAAAAAGTGCTAATGCAAGTGATTTAATCACATTATACTCAAAGTGATGATTCCCTATTATTTTTAGATAAATCAAAACTTCTGAATAGATGCTTACAGGGTTGCCAAATTTTGTAACAGTGTGAGCCCTGTGGGGTTTATTATACAAGGCCTTACAAGATTACTTTAAGGTCAAATGAAATAATGAAAATCTGACAAAATATTACAAATGGAGTCCAAAACATTCAATTAGTAAAACACACACAGCTGCATAACTGAGAGGTTAATGAACTAACAGAAATGGTGTATTGTGTAGAAGCCAATTTTATTTCTAAATTATTGTAATTATAGAACATGTCTTATAACATACAAAGAAACACCAATTTTTATATTATACGTTTTATACCACCATTGCTTTACTTCTGGTGAGCATTTATTTCTCTTCTTGGAAAGAAGATTTCATTGTAATGATAACTGGGGAAAAATTTTTTATCAATTTCTTAAAAATCATACT